ATGCAAGTGTGATCTGTGCTTGGAAGTGCGTGTTTGGGAAACAGGCCCCAGCCAGATCCTTTGCCAGGAGAGAGTTGACAAAGGAGATATCTGAGCAGGTGACTGGAGGGGCAATCAGGGGGAGGGGCACCAGGTATTCCTGTCAATGTTTTAACAGCCTGTAGATGAGGACACCAAATACATCCCTCCTCACAGAGACAGGTCCTCCCAATCCCTTCCCTCCTAAGTACTGTCTGGTTAAAGACCCTGCAGTGTAGGGAGCCCTCTGAGGGGACAGCAAGGGGGTGACTTTTACTTCACAGATGGTAAGAAACTTGGTTTCAATCTGGGAACAATCGGCTTCCATGCACCTTCCCACCTCTGACAGCCCCACTTTACAGAAACAATGTGAAAGGTTCCCTTGCAAATGGAAGGTTTTTGTCTCACTTCCCCATCAGGCTGGGTCACTGTGAGACTCAGTACTGCTGTCCCACACCTGACAGTAATAATCAGCCTCGTCCTGCGCCTGGACCCCAGTGATGGTTAACGTGGCCGTGTTCCCGGAGTTGGCGCCAGAGAATCGCTCAGGGATTCCGGAGGGTCTGTTGCTACTTTCATATATCACGAGTAGGGGGGCACTGCCAGGTTTCTGTTGGTACCAGTGCACAACATTGCTACCGATATCATTCCCTGAGCACAGACACTGAGGGCGGCTGAGTCAGCACGTACTGGGCCAGAGAACCTGAGACGGAAAAAACACATCGATATAATGACTCTGCAACATGGACATTATGCCCAATGAATATAATCCAGCGGCAGCAAAACTTTCCCCTTTGTAGTACCTGAGCAGTAGGTGAGCAGGGTGAGGAGCAGGGGAGCCCAGGCCATGGTGGATCCAGACGAGCTCGGCTCCCTGAGGCAAACGGGTCTGTGGCTGGGGCCTGCCCCCTCTCTCAATGGCTTTTTCATGCAAATCTGCTCCTTGCTCATTGGCTGCTCAGGCATCTTCACTCACCCATATGAGAGGGGGCCAACGAAGAGGACAGCCATTACTGGTCCCAATTCTTCTCTGTTTTTCATTGGTGTAAATCCAGGATAACTCCACTGTAGTTCATGCAGCTCATCTACTGTGTAAATGGTGTAAATGAGGTGTGAATCAGGACCTCTGTTTAGTAAATTGAAACACGTAACGAAGTAGAAATATTAACCAGAGGCTAAGATATCCTGCTGAGTCACTGAATCATACAGAGCCCAGGTCCCAATTCTTCTCTGTTTTTCATTGGTGTAAATCCAGGATAACTCCACTGTAGTTCATGCAGCTCATCTACTGTGTAAATGGTGTAAATGAGGTGTGAATCAGGACCTCTGTTTAGTAAATTGAAACACGTAACGAAGTAGAAATATTAACCAGAGGCTAAGATATCCTGCTGAGTCACTGAATCATACAGAGCCCATTATCCATAGCCACAAAAGGATACTTTGCACATTAGGGTTAGAAATATCATATCCACATAGTCACTGCACTGGAGATCCATTATATACCTGGAAATCATCCATTGCACTTTCCAAAGCCTTCTGCGATGTTAGCAGATGCAAGCTCCTGGTCTGATTGTATGGAAGGATAATAACCAATTATCTGTTGTTGGATAGTTACACACAGTTCTGGATGCAAAAAGCTGAGTTTGATAGAGACCTGCACTCTAACGCTATGTCTACATTGCACGCTTGTTTCAAAATAACTCGAGTTATATCAAAATAACAGAATGTGTGTCTATGCAGCAAGCCCATTATTTTGAAATAATTATGAAAATAAGGGGCTTCTTACTCTGACTTCTGTAATTCTCATTTCATGAGGAGGAGGAAGGAAGAGTATTCTTCCTTTAGCTTCCTACTAAAAACGTCAAGTTAAGGTTCTTCGACTTCAGCTATGCATTTAATGTAGCTGAAGTTGTGTATCTTAACTCTATTATCACCCACAGCGTACCCCAATACGGGACATATACCATTGGATTGGAGGCTGCAAGTGGAACGGAAAGGCTTTAGTTCAGCGGGAGTTCTGTAAAGCTTCACTCAAGACAGGTTTATACTCAGTGTTCAAGTTCATGCCCCTGCATAGTCTCTCAGCAGATGAGAAAATGTCTCAGGAAACCACCTAGAAAACATTCTCCCAAGAGATCGATGAACTGAAGTTTTTCTTTGTTGAGTTTATTGGAATCTGAGTATTTCAAATGGGCTTTTTATATAATCCATGTCTGCCTGCACTTACCTTTCTTCTAGTCACACCCCTTTCTTGTCGTCCCTAATGAAAGTAGGGAAAATGGGCAGTGAAGGAGCTGGCCCTCCAAAGCAGACTATTTTAGAAGAAGCATGATGTGAAATTAAAGGAGAGTCCTGGGTGTCAGGCAATACAAGTGTGATTAGCAGCTCGGCCACACACCATGTGAGCATGTCCAAAGTCCGAACCCTCCTGAGCCTAAATTTCCACATCAATAAAACGACTCTCCTGTCTTATCCTGAATGGGCAGTGAAGGAGCTGGCCCTCCAAAGCAGACTATTTTAGAAGAAGCATGATGTGAAATTAAAGGAGAGTCCTGGGTGTCAGGCAATACAAGTGTGATTAGCAGCTCGGCCACACACCATGTGAGCATGTCCAAAGTCCGAACCCTCCTGAGCCTAAATTTCCACATCAATAAAACGACTCTCCTGTCTTATCCTGGGGCCTTATACTAACACTCATCACCGCAGCGTCTGAGCACCTGCTGTGTACAGGCCTGCCAATGGGGGAGGGGAAAGGGAGAAGGGAAAAGGGGACAACTGCCTTAGGGTCTGGTGATTCAATTGGGCCCATGGCTCTGAGCCCCCGAAGCTTTAAATCACCACTGGAGGACCGGGCAGTGTGCTCCAGGTAGCTGTCAGGGTTACCAGAGGCTGTCTGAGCAGTTATAAGAGCTGGCTGCCCCTGACCTTGCCCCTTCTGCCTGAGGCCATGCTCCTTGTGGAAACATGGAGCAGTTCCCCTCCTTATTTAGCCAGGAGCCTGGAGAGTCTGTTGGCTCCCCTGGCCATGGCACACTGATAGCAACAGTGAAGACCCTACTAGGCTTCATGGCACCTCTACCCTTTTCCCTACTCTGGGGTAGAAACTCTTCTGGGGGCAGGGTTTGTGGGTAAGAGTTTTCAGATTTCAGTAATTCAGTTTTCTTGATAGTTTGTTACGTTTTGATTAATTGAGGGGGAGTATGTCACTTTTTACTTTTTGTTTTTGTTTGGCTGGGATTTGGGGACAAAAGGGGGCATCCTGGCTGTGAACATCATTCGTATTGTAGAAAGGTGATTCTCACACTTTGCATGGGTACTATGAACTCTAAATGGCTAGAACCCTGCGTGGATACAAAACTGGTATTCATATCTGCAGCTGCAAAAATGAGTCAGGTGGATATCCACATCTGCAGATATCCATGAATATAAAGGGAGCATCCATAAATTTACAGGGTTCTAGATACAAAATGTTTATCCTCATCTGCAAAAATGATAGGCAGCAATGGTGTATCCATATTTGTGCCTGTGGGATACCTGTGGCTATAAAGCTGTATATCCACAGATTTGAAGGTCTCTATAAATCATAAGCATCTTTAGAGATCCTGGCGTTCTTAAAAGCAGCAGGTTATAAAATGAAGCTCATTAGTATTTAGTAATGGGAATTTCCTTAGGGGAATTTCCAGAAGTTATAAATGTGAAATTTCGTATTACCGATAAAATGCACCTGTAACCTAGACACACTTCTGCACCTCAGCAGCTTGGAGCAGAACAAACTATGGAAAGTCTCTTATCTTTGACGTGTTACAGATGATGAGCTCCTCCTAGAGGTTACATTTCTTTCATCATTTCTGTTATGCATGTTATTATTTAACAGCAGACTTGTTTCTTGCAGGGCATGGGGGAGGACACAGAGCAAGAAAAGTTGTTCTACTGCAGGCTGGAGAGGAACTGAAACACAGACACTAAAGACTCTCCCCTGCTCTGGGGCTGCTTTACAAATTCAGAGGAGGGCCACTGAAGCCTCAGGCCAAACTTGGGTGGTCACTGGGTTTACAGTGAAATCACTGCAGACTCCTGGAGCCCAGTCAAAGCCAGCTGGAGCCCAGTGGCTGTGACTGAGTCATTTGAGAGTTTGGACGGTCACTTGACACGGAATCACAAAGGAAAAGGTTGGAACAACCTGGAGCTGGCATCAGACCCAACGCACACCTCGCTGGGTCCTGCGCAGGGAGCATCATGCAATCAGGTCCCTCTCAAATCAACAGACCGTGTCACAGCTGGACCCCACACTGCATCCAGTGCAGCTGCCAGCTCAGATCCAGGCAGGGGAGGATGCAACCTGCTCAGGGGATTTGCTTGGCCTTCTCATTCCTAGTGCATCATTAGCTTTAAGTATCTAGGGCTCTGCTCTCCTTCTCAGTGGACATTCTCAGTAGTATTCCCTGGCCTTTTATAAATCCTACAAATGTACCTTCCCAGCTCATCCTTCAGTGGGGGGTCTTTGGGATCCTGAAGCCCCTGGATTCTTTGGCATATTAATGGGGTATTTCTCTTTCATCATGCTGGCCATCACTTGAGATGTCTCCTCTTGTTGAGCTGCCAGTTTTCGGACAACGTCACTTAAACTTTTCAGGGTTAACTGTGTTTGGGGCAGGGTCCTTTCCCCAGCAATTGCATTTACTGGGCCCCAACTTCCTGTAGGGGGGTTTGGCTTGGCCATCTCTTCCAAAGGAAATTCCTCTTCTTCTGACCATATAATGGCAGCCCGCATGAGTTCATGGAACTTCTTACCAGGCTCTTCCTTAAACCTGCTTTTCATTTCACAGCAGAGGAAGTCGTCCGAAAGCCCCAGTACCAATGGCTCTTTCATATCTGGATTTGGAACTTGTTGGGACTCTCGCTGCTCCACTTTGCTCATTCTCTCCTGGAAGTCACGTGCCTAGACTATGTCACCAGGTGCCTGCTTTTCTGTGAGAACTTCCTTAATCAATAGGTACCTTGTCTCCATATGCTTCTAGAAGGACTTTAGATACATTTGCTACATCTTTCTTGCCTGCCATTGCCATGAACTTTACTGTGGCCTTGACCTGGCCCTTGAGGTGCTCCTCTATAAAGTTCACATGATGTTCCTCAGGTAATTTTTAGCACGGGCAGAGCTACCTTCATAGACTTCACCCACTCCTCTATCCTAATGTTTCTTGGTTTATTTGGGAAGCCACCCAACTCTGTGAAGACCTAAATAGTAGGGAATTTCTTAGTTTCTGCTGCCTGTTGGTCTATGAGGGTATGTCTACACTACAAAGTTAGTTCGAACTAACGGACATTAGTTCGAACTAACTTTCCTAGGTGCTACACTAGCGCTCTGTTAGTTCGAACTTAATTCGAACTAACGGAGCGCTTAGTTCGAACTAGGTAAACCTCATTTTATGAGGATTAAGCCTAGTTCGAACTAGCTAGTTCGAATTAAGGGCTGTGTAGCCCCTTAATTCGAACTAGTGGGAGGCTAAGGCTTCCCAGGTTTCCCTGGTGGCCACTCTGGCCAACACCAGGGAAACTCTATTGCCCCCCTCCCGGCCCCGGAGCCCTTAAAGGGCCACGGGCTGGCTACACAGTTTGTGCCAGTTGCAAGGCTGCAAGCACCC